GAAGGCCCTCAGGGCCAGATTTGACCTGAGGCTTAGTTCACTACAGTATCAGCATCATGGATAGTCAGTAGCACATATCAATAACCAAGTAACCAAGTGGCATTACAGTTTTTTTTCCCACAGTGATTATTCTGGTTATCAGATATTCATGAGTCTAACAGCCTCAGGTAAAACCTGTTCCTCAGTCTAGTGGTTCTACACTTAATGCTCCTCAACCTCCTTCCTCAGGGGAGTGGGGCAAAAAGTGTGTGTGCTGGGTGAGTGGGGTCTTTCATGATGCAGGTGGCCCTCTTCCTGCATCTAGAGGTGTAGATGTCTGTGATGGTGGGGAGACTGACCGACAGACGTCTGTGCAGCTTTCACCACTCTCTGCAAAGCTTTTCTTTTTGCAGCTGTGCAGTCTCCATGCCACACTTTGATCTTGGAGCACAGGATGCTCTCCACTGCACACCTGTAGAAGGAGGTGAGGACTGAGCTTCCCAGACCAGCTCGTCTCAGCCGTCTGAGGAAGTAGAGTCTCTGATGAGCTTTCTTGATCAGGCTGGTGGTGTTGTTGCCCCAGCTGAGGTTGTCATTCATGTGCACACCCAAGTACTTGTAGCTGGAGACCACTTCCTTCACAATCCTCCTATGTTCGGGGTGGGTGGGGGGTAGGTGTGTTTGTTCCTTCTGAAATCCACAACCATCTCTTTTGTTGTATTCACATTGATGTGAAGGTTGTTCTTCTTGCACCAGCTCTCCAGGTGTTCCACCACCTGCCTGTAGTTGGACTCTTTATTTGTGATGCATCCCACCACCGCTGTATTGTCTGCAAACTTTACAATATGACAGCGTGGCTGGGTAGGTGTGCAGTCATATGTGACCAGAGTGAACAGGAGGGGGTTCAACACACAGCCCTGAGGGGAGCCAGTGCTGAGTGTTATGGTGGAGGAGAAGTTGTGGATCATCACAGACTGCGGTCTGTTGGTTAAGAAATCCATGAACCAGTTGCAAATGGAGGTGCTTAGTCCTAGTATGAGTAGTTTGTGAACCAGGGTCTGGGAAATGAGGGTGTTTAAGGCAGATATGAAGTCCACAAACACCATAAGGATGTAGGAGTCCTTCTGCTCCAGGTGGGTGAGAGCAGTGTGGACCACAGAGGAGATGGCGTCCTCTGTTGATTGATTCTCGCGGTATGTGTACTGGTGAGGGTCCTCGCTGATGTTGCTGGTTGTTTTAATGTGGGTCACGACCAGTCTTTCAATGCATTTAGCGACTATTGGGGTGAGGGCTACTGGCCGGTAATCATTCAGACCAGTCACTGTAGAGCTCTTTGGGGCTGGGATGATGGTGGCAATCTTCAGGCAAGTGGGAACAGTTGCCAGGGTGATTAAGGAGTTAAAGTGTCGACCAGCACCTCGCAGAGCTGATCAGCACAGTCTCAACACCCTTCCCGGGATGTTGTCGGGGCCATTTGTTTTGTGAGGATTAATCTTCCTGAAGGTACTCCTTACTTCTGCTGAGGTCACACTGAGGAACTTCTCTTATGATGGTGGTGAGTCTGGTGCTGGGTGGTCTGTTTGGGTCTTCAAAGCGTGCATAGAACCTGTTAAGAGCATCAGGCAGTGAGGGGTCCCGAGAGCATTGTGCACCTCTGCTTTTATAGTCTGTGATGCACTTCATGCCCCTCCACACGCTCCGTGGGTCCTGTAAGGAGAATTTTCCCTGAATTTTCTGTGCATATGTGGCTTTGGCCTTCTTAATTCCAGCAGCCAGCACTTTCCTTGCCCTCCCCAGTTCCTGTGACCGGCCAGACCTGAAGACAGCATCCCTGGCTTTCAGGAGAGTATGGACCTCTGCTTTCAGTCAGGTTTTTCTGGTTCAGGTAACACATCACAGTCCTGGTGGTGCTGGCATCTTCAACACACTTACTAATGTATCCGAGGACAGCAGATGTGTAATTCTCCAGATCCAGCTCTCCCTCATTTACAACAGCCTCCCTGAAGATCTGTCAGTCTGTGTGTATAAAGCAGTCCTGCAGTACAGAGTCACTGTCACTGGGCCACACAGTGATGGTTTTCTGTGTGGATCTGGAACGTCTCAGCAGGGGATGGTAGACGGGGAGCCAGAAAGATGGATTCTATACTTGTTTAATTGTTTTACGTTTTATATAAAAATCAAACTGAAAATGCAAAAAGAAGTTATGTTAAGTATCCAGATGCATGCTCAATAATCCAGGTAGAACAATCTAAAAAAGTTTAATCTGGTCCTCTGGACATTCAAAAAAAACAAAACAAAACAATAAAAAAAATGTAGAAACGTTTCGTCTTTCATCCAAAAAACTTCCTCAGTCTGAGGTGCTGTATATTCAGCTCAGTCTTATAAATAGCACCTTCTCAGAGTGGATCAACCAGTTTTGCTGCTGACAACCAAAACCAGCTGCTCACATGATCAAGAAGGACCATCAGCCTAACGATGGATCATTAGCACCCTGATGGCTGTTTACTATTCACAGAGGGCTGAGTGATACTAGCAATAGCAACTCAGGAGCCAGGCAGAAGGAGAAATCCCACACAAGACAGGCTCTAGAGCAATGTGGATATCCTAACTGGGCCTTCCTGAAAGCAGAGAAGAAACCTAAACAGGACTCCAGTCAGCCATCAGGTGAAAAGGAGAAACCCAGACCCAGACCAGTGGTCATTCCGTATGTTGAGGGAGTATCAGAGAAACTGAGATGTTTATTTTCTAAACACAACGTCCCAGTGGCTTTTAAACCCCAAAATACATTACGTCAAAGACTGGTTCATCCCAAAGATCCAGTCCCCTGGCACAAACAGAGTAATATTGTGTATGCTGTTCAGTGTCAGGAGGGCTGTGATCAGTCTTACATCAGGGAAACTAAACAGGCACTGGCCAAAAGGATGGCCCAGCACAGAAGAGCAACAATATCAGGCCAGGACTCTGCGGTCTACACTCATCTCCAGGCCAGCGGTCACTCTTTCAGGATGAAGATGTTCACATCCTGGATAGAGAGGAACGATGGTTTGAGAGAGGAGTAAAGGAGGCCATCTTTGTGAAAAGAAATCGTCCATCATTAAACAGGGGTGGAGGCCTCCAGGTTCAACTGTCCCCCTCTTACAATGCTGTTATTGCCAGTATCACTCAACACTCTGTGAATAGTAAACAGCCATCAGTGTGCTAATGATCCATTGTTAGGCTGATGGTCCTTCTTGATCATGTGAGCAGCTGGTTTTGGTTGTCAGCAGCAAACTGGTTGATCCACTCTGAGAAGGTGCTATTTATAAGACTGAGCTGAATACAGCACCTCAGACTGAGGAAGTCTTTTGGATGAAAGACGAAACGTTTCTACATTTTTTTTTTTTTTTTTAAATGTCCAGAGTACCAGATTTAAATTTTTTTAGAGAAGTTATGTTAAGGTTTTGTTTTTGGCGTTTCTTTAAGATTTGCATATCATCAGTCTTTAAGATTTCAACCTTTGTGTTATCCATGTTCTGTTAACAGCTACAGGACAGGTTTAAAAACCAGTATTATGAAGGTTGAGCTTGTGAGACAGCCTTCAGCAGAAGGTGTCTCTTCTGCACAGGTTAAAGTACATAACCCCAGTAAGCTGTGTGCTGAATGGCCACATGGATTAATTAGGCTGAGGGACACAGTGGGTATGTTTACATGGACATAAGTAACCGGATCAAATGGCCGGTCGGAATAAAAGTGTGTCATGTAAACACTCCGTTCGGGTTATTTTTTGTGTATTCGGCGCGATCCGTTATAATTTCTGATCAGAACGAAACGGGTGGTTTACGCCGATCCGAAACCTGATCGGTGCGCATGTAAACGCTTGATCTGTTCGTTTTTATCTGATGGTGAAAAACTGACCTGACTGCGCATGTGCGACTTTGCCATTTCCGCCTGGCTAACGCTAATAATATTAGCATGTCAGGGAAGTAAAACTGGTCGGTGAGCGACACAACATTTCTACTAGAAACTTTTAAAGAGCTCAAAATGATTTCTATTACCTGTAGCTCAGTCAGGGAGTGCAATAACGTCTCCACCATCATTAAAACCTGTCGCGGGTCCATTTTGGGTGCTCAGGTTTGTTTACGTTCACCCGGAAGTAGAACTTCTTCTTCGGTGTTTTTTTAAAGGAGAGTTTACCACTCTGCGCATGTCAGTACTGCTGTTCAGAACAAAGCCCGCTGCATGCAAACGCTCATCATGAACAGATTGTGCCCATGTAAACAATACATTTGAATTATTCAAACAGAACACATTTCAATCCGGTCAAAGAATTCTGCGCATGTAAACATAGCTAGTGGTGTCTGCCAGCAGCCTTCACTAATCTGGGTCTGCTGTTGAAAAGTGTGCGTTGTTCACACAAAAGTAGAAGTAGGTCCTTCCTGTCCTTCAGCCCTGTTTTTACAACAAGGTGAGGAAACATGAACGTGCCCGTCGGCTGATGACGTCACAGATTGTGCTCAAGGGAGCTCTGGTGGATTCTGCAACACAGACAGGGGGGAGGGATGGAAATAAGGGAGGAGGGGAGGGTATTTGTTGCCATGGTGAAAGGTTCTTGAAGCAGCTGCCGATTCATGTATGCCATAGCTCACCCCTTCCATTCTCCTGCCTCTCTCTGTTACTGCCAGCCATTCAGGCAAGAGGTTCGTATGCTACACGGGCGGCTCTGGACCTTCCTGCTTCAGACCTTTTATGCCATTCGCCACACACAGGGATGGGAGACACTATCAACCAAACACAGAGAGAGGATACTTGCAGGTAAAGCTAGTTATTTTAATCTCGGAGTGCTTTGCTCCCACACACAGTATTCATGTGTCATGTTGATGTATGTACATGTATTTTTTTGATTTTCTTGAGAACCCGGCCTGATACTGAAGCAATGTGTCTGCATTGAGATAACAGAAACTGATGACCCATTTACATGTCTCGAGCTTTAATGCGAGGTTCTGCCTGTGTGTCTGAAGCTCTGCGGTTAATGTGTGCACGCTGACATGGCAAATGCACCAGATGTGTCATGCTTGTTTCTAATGGGATGAAGCTCGAACTGCTGCTGCTGTAGTTCTGATTGTGAAAGATGCTTTCACAAATACAAATGATATTCTGCCAGTGTTGACCTAATGATGTGAAATGCGCGTCATGAATCATTTGCTTCACTGGTATCAGTGTGCATCAATTACATTACAATCCATGCCATGCCAATGTGTTTAGATTACAGATCTAGATTGCTAACATAACGATGATTGTGTTTCACTCTTTAGAAACCATGCTTTCTTTCTGAGAGTGCTTACAAGGTGTAGATGACTAATCCATTTATTGCTTTAATGTTTATTTTGTTGTGATTGAGGGGTGAATATTGTAAATAAGGGCCTTTGTGAACAAAAAGAGTGGCTCAGATTGGGATATTTTAATTTTGCAGGTCAAGGACTGATCAGTTCATCGCTGATACATATTTGCTTTTTTTCTTATTCTCACAGAGGCTATTGACAAAGGAGACAATCGAAGACTTTGTAAAAAACCATTATTCTCTAGCTCACAGGTAATAATTGTTTTTATTTAAAGACATGCTGTTTAAGAACCAAAACAAAGAAACATGTATTTTATTCTGTAACAATAGCTGATGATACAAAGCAACAGCTGTCAGTTTTAGCTTCATGTACATTATAATTACTGCCTGTGGCGTTTAAATGTCATATGTTAAAAATGCCCCACCCGTACACAAAACTAGTAAATATTAAAATGAGCAGCAGAGGTTCTCCAAACAGATGTGCTCTGACTTAATTTGTAGCTAAAGTATCAGACATGAAATACTAAATACACTGCATGCTGTCAGAAGATTAGCTTGTACTTTTTGTTCTGTCTAAAAGTAAAAAATATTATGGAAAGTTTTAAAATAAATGAAAAAGAACAGAAGGTAGGTTTAGTTGTGGAGCACTGATCCAAAGAACCTCAGCAGATGTCCGAGATGACAGCCTCGTCTCTCATGGTCTGGTAAATTGATCTAATATTATCCATTTCCTGGGCTGTTTCTTTGTTGACTAACCCAGCACTGTAATGCAGTTACATGACTCTTGTGCTTATTTTTATCCTGCAGTCAAAGGCTGTAAAATGCTCCACATCTCTGCCTGAGAGTCCTGTGCACAGGAACCACAGGGTGTCTCAAAACAGAAGTTCTTCCTCTCACTTTGCTACGTCAGCCATGAAATCTGATGCTCTGGGTGCAGTTAATAAACCAGGAGATGGTCAAGCATCCAAAGCAAAGAATGTGAAGAAATCAGGAGATAAGAGTGTAGCAACAAAAGCAAAGACCTCATCAGCTGCCACACCAATTGTTAATGGAACAGGATCTGCGAGGGCCAAACGAGATGTAACCAGCACCAACGGCCCCAGAGGTTCTCATGGAGCGAAAGAGCAGGAAACAAAGCTAAACCCTGGTGCAAGACCTAAAATCTGTCCCCCAAGCCGTATAACCACTAGGCAAGCAGCGGCGACAAAGACTCAGATGACCTCAGCAGGAAAGGGTGGCAAGTCCGCTAGCACCAACCAAACGCAGCTCAGCGCTTCAGCCTCGTCAGACAGCACCTCGCCGGACAACAGAGACAGCAGTCTTCACAATGATACTCAGTCCTTTCCAGGTTTACTTTCTTTATTGACTTCTTTATGTTTTCTCAGTGTAGCTGACACTGACTACCATGTAATGCATCACAGCAGCCAAACTGAAGTGTCAACAGCACCTTAAGAGCTAAGCCTGTGTCTCAAAAAAGAAAGGAAGCACAGCTTAATTAGTATAACCAATGATGTGCTATGACTAAGAGGGATTTTTGGAAGATAAAAGCCTTTTTATGTACAAGTGTTGCTTTGTAAGGCAACAGAACATGCAGTTGTCTTTAGCAGCTTGTTTATGTCTGTCTAATCGTAAAAACACCAGAGGTTGAAGTCTTACACAGATGGGGCAATGGTGTGTCAGAGTACTGAGCCTTTACAGTGATACAAATGTTCAACTGAATTCAGTTCAGTTTATTTATTTAGCACCAAGTCAGAACAGAAGTTGTTCCAGGGCACTACAAAAACATCAACATACATTATAAAAACCATTCTGTAAAAATTCTCTATCTAAGGAAGCCAGCAGATTGTGTTGAAGCTTCACTTCATCACAGTCTCCCATCCTGAGCAAGCACAAAGAGACAGTGGAAAGGAAAAACTCCTTTTAACAGGAAGAAACCTCCAGCAGAACCAGGCTCAGGACATCTGCTTTGACCGGCTGGGGTTTGAGAAGACAGGAAGGAGGAACAGACACAGAATGACATACATTATTAACAGGCTAATGCTACAGTTATTAAAGTAGGCTTATATTATAATATCCATCCATCCATTATCTTTACCCGCTTATTCCATTTTGGGTCACGGGGGTCGCTGGTGCCCATGTCCAGCAATCACTGTGCGAGGGGCGGGGTACACCCTGGACGGGTCGCAAGTCCCGTCACAGGGCCACATAGAGACAAATGACACAAACAACCATTCACTCTCTCACTCACACCTAGGGACAATTTAGAGTTACCAGTCAGCCTAACATGCATGTTTTTGGTCTGTGGGAGGAAATCGGAGTACCCGGAGAAAATCCACGCATGCACGGAGAGAACATACAAACTCCACCCAGAAAGGCCCCTGGACCGGGGTTTGAACCAAGGACCTGCTCGCTGAGAGGCAGCAGCTCTACCAGTTGCGCCACCGTGCTGCCCTATATTATAATATATATTTCTGTAAAAGCTATTGCTAAACTATAAACAGGCTGTCCTTAAACAGGCTAATGCTACCATTAAAAAGGCTAACCACAAAATAAATATTGAGGATTATTGAGCATGCATCAGGACACAAAATAAATAGCCTAATGCTACAATATAAACCGACTTATGCTAGAACATAAGCATGCTAATGCTACAGATAAAACAAGCTAATGACACAATATAAACATAATTCAGTTTATACCTTTAACAAGACCTTTCTGAACTCCTCACAACATTCTTCCTTCTTCAGCTTCCATAATTTGTTGTTCTTCTCTGATTTTACTCTTGTGCTGTTCTTCACAACAACAGTCATTCTACACACAACCATCCGATGTTGTCTGGCCACGCTCTCCCCTGCCACAGCCTTACAGTCCAGTGTTTCCTCTACCACTACACAAGTAGGGTGCCCCGCCCCGTCAACAGAACCGAGCGCCCCACCTACTGAACCGAACTGCGCGCGCCTCCGCCCGTCAGCACTGACATAGTGCTAAGCTAGCTGCATGCAATACAGTACTCCCTTGCTACTTCGCAGTTTGTTTATTGCGGACAAGCTCTATCGCAGTTTTTCAAATAAGATTGGACATGACACACAGTTGGCTCATTGATAGATGAGCCGCACGATCGGCATGGAATTTTTATTTAAAATAAATAATTTTAAATTATTTAGCACCCGCTGCACATTTGTGCAGCCCAGAGCTGCCGAAAAAGCTTCCTCCTGCACCGTTCTGCAGCTCACACTGCAGGATAAACTTCCTGCTGCAGCTGATCAGCTGTTCACTGTGCAGCGGAGAAATGGGTGTGGCCAAGAGCGCTTGCAAGTAGCAAAGAGCAGAGGAGGCAGGGGGCTGAAATCATGACATTCTGTGCTCTTTTAGAGAGTTTAGAAACATTGTTTAGAAAATTTAGAGTTTAGAAACATTGTTTAGAATATTGCATATAAATAGTAAAATAAACTACTACTACTACTTGTACTACTAATCCTATTTCGTGGTTTTTCACTTATCGCAGGTCTTCAAGGTACGGATCCCCTGAGATAAACGAGGGACTACTGTACAGGCATGCAAGCTAAAATGTTAAAGGCAGCACTCACCTGCCTCTTCCTTCACACTAAACCCTCATGCTGCCCCCCCCCCCCCCCAAACCAACACACACACATACACCCTGCTCAAAAACTGTCAGTACAAACAATGTGCAGCTCAGCTGGCTCTGTCACACCCCCACTCCGCGTTCTTGTACAAACATTGCCCAGCTCAGACGTGTGTCTCACCGCCATGGTAAGTTATCTAGGGGAAACACTGCAGTCCCCAATCTCCCTCGGGTTTCTTCTTCTACACCAGGGGTGTCAAACTCACTTACAATAGGGAGCAAAAATTAAAACATTTTTCAAACTAAGGGCCAATTTCAGAAACTACATTAACTTAAATCAGATACTCAACATCTTTTCTTGGTCACAGGTTCCTCAGTAAGAGTTTGATTGGTCTCATTTGATGTTCTCTGTTGTGCTTTTGACATCATAGATTACTGAAAAAAATTCAAGCGATAGAAGTATTTTATGTTTCACATATCATCTTGGGGGCCAGACAAGATGTCAACGAGGGCCACATTTGGCCTAGAGTTTGACACGTGTTCTACACAGAATGTAGTCAACCTGCGTACTCCTTCCTCCACTCTTATAGGTCACTCTATGTCCCTTCCTCTTTTGGAATTAAGTGTTGACTACAGCATTTCCATTCTCTTAGCAAAATCCACCACCATCTGTCCTTCCTGGTTTTTTTTTGTCTTCGACACCAAGCCTACCCATCACTTCCTCATCCCCTCTGTTTCCTTCACCAACATGTCCATTCAGATCTTCTCTGATCACCACTCTCTTCTCCTTGGAGATACTCTCTATCACTTCATCCAGATCCTTCCAGAATTTATCTTTCTCCTCCACATCACATCCAACCTGTGGAGCATAACCACTGACAACATTTAGCATCAGACCTTCTACTTCTACCTTCAGACACATTTTTTTCATTTTCATTTACCCTTTATTTATCCAGGTAGTCTCATTGAGTCACGAGAACTCATTTTCAAGAGAGACTTGTTTTAGGGAGCAGATGATGGGGGCTAAGGGCCTTGCTCAGGGGCCCAGAGTGGGGCAAATGAGGGTGGAGGGAGGTGTGGGTGTTTCACCTTTTCCACCCACATTTTGATGTTGACGGTACCGGGAGGTGAACCTGCGACTTTCCCATCACAAGCCCATCTTCTAACCTCTGCGCCACCACTCACATCACCCTATCTGACACTATTTTCACCTCTACTATATTATTTGCCAACTCCTCCTTCAGGACCGCCCATACTCCATTTCTCTTTCTATCCACACCATGGTAAAACAGTCTAAACCCTGCTCCAATGCTGTGAGCCTTGCTGCCCTTCCACTTGGTCTCTTGGACACATAAAACATCTACCTTTCTTCTCTGCATCATGTCAGCCAGCTCTCTACCTTTGCCTGTCATTGTCCCCACATTTAGAGTTGCAACCCTCAGTCCTACATTCTAGATTTTCCTCTTGTCCCTTTATCTCCTGCATCAGACCTTCTACTTCTACCTTCAGGCACATCACTTTGACACTCTTTTAACCTCTTCTACATTCTTTGCTAACTAAATATCTTGCTCAGAGACTCCATGACATGTGGGAATGACTGGGGATCGAGCCTGGGACTTTCAGGTCCCAGGTCGGCTGCCCTGCCTCTACCCCATCTTGGTCCCCAATACAAACTACTGCTACAATATCAACAGGCTAATGCTACAGTTATTAGAACGGGTTTATGTTATAATATAAACAGCCTAATGCTCCAACATAAACATGCTAATGCTACCATTAAAAAGGCTACAAAAGTACAAAATTAGGCTAATGCTACAATATAAACAGGCTTAATCTACAATATAAACATGATAATGCTACTGTACATGTAAAACAGGCTAATGCTACAATATTACAGGAAATCAAACAAGCAGTTAAAAAGAAGAAGGAAAACAACACATTTCTTCTAAATAAAGCTGAGGGAAAAAACATGTCAGTATTTTATAAATAAATAAATGTAAAATTATACTTTATTGCATCATTGGCGCATCTGACAGAAAAAAATATTAAAACTTAAAAACAAAAATTAACTCCATTATTAAAAAATTGACTCCATTATAAAGCCAGCAAATATTACACATCTTTTTTCATTCAACCTTTATTTATACAAGTTAGTCGATCCCATTGAGCCTCGAAGACTCATTTACAAGAGAGACCTGAAATTTTAATTGGACTTAAAGTTTGTCTTTTTTATCGAACCCAAAGAGTATTAATGTACTGGTATTAATGTACTGGTTGTTGTTTTATTTTATACGAATCACATTTTTATTTTCTTTAGAATAAAGTGATTCTGTATTTTTTCCTTAGTTACATGTAAAAAAAAGTTATTTTATATAACTTATTTGATATTTTTATACTTTTGTTTTATTTTTTGCATGTTTTACAAGGCACAAATGTTTGCTGTTCGATTAAATAGTTTTGTGTTGTAACTTTTGATCAAGTAGAGCAGCTAAATGAAAACTTGAGCTTGCAGTAACTTTTTATGTGATTTGTGTTGTGTGTTTTAGGCCCACAACCCAAACTTCAGGCCAAGGCAGTGAAGAAATCTCCTCTGACAAAACCTCCTCAGAAATCAGAGCCAACAAAGACCAGCAGGTGAGATTTACTTTTACTAAAATATTCGAACCAGTCTGAGGTCAACATGAAGACTTTTTCCTCAGCCCAACCACAAGTTGACTCGATGTGTCTGTAGGACGTGCACGTCTGATTAGAAAATTCAAGAGTCGGCTGATTCCACAGTGGGTTTTTTTTTTAGATGCAAACTTTTAAAATGTTTGTTTTTACATTTCAGTGAAGAAGCACTTTTTTCAAACAACACAACTGTATAGATGCACTGGATTTGATTAGTACAAACAGAAACTTTCTCTTGTCCCAGCCAAAAAATAAAATGCTATGTGTTGTCATCATTGTATGTTCCCATACAAAGACGAAATTGTCTCTCTGCATTTAACCCTTCGCACCTGGGATACACCCAGGTGGAGCATTGGGCAGCTATGTAAGCTGCCCAGGGATCATTTCGGGATTGGGTGTCCTGCTCAGAGACACCACGAGATGTGTAATGACTGGGGATCGAACCCAGGACCTTTGGGTCCCGAGTCGGCTGCCCTGCCCCTACACCATCTCGGCCCCAATAAAAAAACTTGTGATCCGTTCAAGATCATTTGTATCGCGTACACTTTTTATCACCCAAGCTCCAAGGTCAAAGTCATAGATCAAGGTCAAGTATTATACAAGGTTTTTCCTTGTCCAAGCCATTGCTGTAGATTGCTGCATTGTTGTATAATAGTTTGTCGTTGGGTGTTCCTCCCCATAAAGTTTTTAAGTCTTATAATTTAGTGTCTATGTAATTTTGGCTAACAGTGCTGTGGAAGTCTCAACACTTGGTGTCCTCAAAGCTGCAGGGACCCCGAGTTATGGGTTCTACCATACATCTGCTGAACTAAAGAAATACAGTAAAATAAAAGGGAAGAACAGCTGAATCCATGTATTTTTGATGTTTTTGTTGTATATTAAATTCTCTGAGAGGTCCCTGCAGTTTTACTTTGACTAACAGGAACTAAGGAAATGATGCATAAAACTGTTTTTCCATCCGTCATTTTTACTCGCTTCTTCCTTTTTGGTTCACGGGAGGTCATTGGTGTCCATGTCCAGCAGTCACTGTGCGAGAGGCGGGGGATACCCTGGACAGCATCACAGGGACACATAGAGACAAACGAGACAAACAACTATTCACTCTCTCACTCACACCTAGGGACAATTTAGAGTTATTAATCAGACTAACATGCATGTTTTTGGTCTGTGAGAGGAAACTGGAGTACCCGGAGGAAACCCACGCATGCACAGAGAGAACATGCAAACTCCACCCTGAAAGCCCCCCGGCTAGGATTTCATCCAGCGACCTTCTCGCTGAGAGCTTTACCAACTGCACCACCGTGCCGCCCAAGATTGTTTTTGGTTTTCTAAATGTTTGTAAAATGGGACATGCGATATATTGTTACTTGTGTGTATTTTTACTTCATTTTGTTGTTAGGAGGACAAAGGCTACCATTTTGTGTTCTGACAAGCTTCTTGTCCTTAAGAGAAGCTAAAACAAATATCTGTTTCACAGTTAGCATCATCTGAACTCTCTTTCCATGAAAGACATTAATGTTTAATTTGTCTCTCAAAGAACAGTGAGAACTTTGTCAATAGTCACTGAAAACCCAGATATTAGTTGAAATCCACAGAAAAACATTCTTGATAAAACATGTGGTCATGATAAGCAGGTCCACATTCTTTCAATTCTAAGGTTTAACAGTATTATCTACAACCTTAGATGAACAACAGCATCACCAAAATGCAACTTTAAACTACTTTAAGTCCTTTAACTGCTGCTTCTACACTTTCAGCTCTCCAAAGATTCAGCTGCAGTATTTCACCTTGAACACCTTGAGTCAATGCAGCTTTCAGTATTTTTCTTCTTCATCCAATCTGTTGTAGATTTGCTGCTGTGTTTGAGATCATTGTGTTGATAAATGACCCGTCCTGCTGGAAATGGGGTCCAGGACTTCAGGCTACAAAACGAGCCAGAATCATCAACCCTCCACCACTGTGCTTGACTCTTGTTTTGGTGTTGGAGCAAATTCTTGTTTTTCACCAAACTTTGTTTTTGTGCTTTATAACTAATAATCCGCACTTTCATCTTGTCCCTTTTAAAGATCATTGTTCCAGAAATGTTGTTGTTTGTTTGATGCAACACAACAAATCCTTCTTGTGCAGTCTTTTTTTATTGCACTTGCCATGAAGAAAGTGCAATTTGTTGTCGTCATTTTTGTCATCAATGACACAATTTGACATCGCTCATGTGAAATGCACACAGATGTAGCTAGGGTCAGTGATTTAAGCCTCCGGAGAGCAGATGAGGAGTCAGTGTCTTGCTCATGGACAACACGACACAGGGGTACAGTGTGGAATTAAACCTGTGACTTTCTGGACCCAAGATGTTCGCCCCATCATGTTTAACATGTTCCAGCATGTAAAGTCTGAGAAGGAACTTTTGAGGTTTTTGCATTTTTTCGGAGCTTTGCACAGTCTGACCTTGGGTTAAATTTATTGGGATCGACTACCAGTGGTTTGTAAATGACCTTAAGACCAGTTGAATGAGCAACAACAGTTGTTTCTCTACGATCCTCACTAACGTCTTCTCTCCTTGGATGTGTTAACGCAGCTGGATGCTTCAGATCAGCAAAGTGCCCGCTTTAACAGAGGAGCCTGCACTGATTATAATGGCTGTAAGTAGAGTTAAGTGTCTGCGATGAAGCTAAATTGATGTGGGCTGGGGGCGTTGGATATTAGTTTCTAAATGGATGAAAGGAAAACCATTCTACTTTTCAGCTCCAGCCTTAAGTAGCAGCAGATTTACTTTTTTCACATTGATTTTAGACTTTTTTAGTTTTGTCAAATGTCATGTATTCCCCTATTTTAAGACTCATACAAGTATTTAATATATCTCAATCTTCAGAGTTCAAAGAGGAGTACTTAGTTTTATCATGCTTCAGAAGCTTGTCCTCAGTAAAATGGAATTGAAAACAAATGTTGCCACCTGGTGGTGGTGAATGTTTCTCAATCATTCTCACGACTGAAATCCACTTTTTTTCTATTCGTATTTCAGACCGTAACTCACTCATATTTCAATTATTCCTGAATCAAAACGTTCAGCTTATTCAGGACTTTCCATCTTGTTAAGACTTTTGGTATTTGTGCAATTTGTACTTTTTGAAATATTTAGCCTTTTCAGCCATGCTTTTCTCATAGAAAAAAATTTTTTCCTTCAGCTGATTTCAGCTTCTTGCAGCTTCTTTCTGACCATTTCTGCTGGGTTTTTTAGCTATTTTCTGCAAAAGTTCAGCTTTTTTTGGCCGTGGCTAAGTGGTTAGATCAGTGGTCCTCCAATGCAAGAGTTTGGGGTTCTATTCCACCAGCAGTCACATGCTGAAGTGTCCCTGGGCAAGACACTGAACAGGTGAAGCATTCACCCTTTCCTCCACCCTCATTTGGCCCACTCTGAGCCCTTGAGCAAGACTCTTAACCTGCACCATCTGTTCCACTGTGTGCTCTAAACAGCAGCTCTCTGCTCCACACAGAGGGCTGTGGTAGCTCGGTGGTTTGTGGTTGTGTCAGGATCAGGAAGGGCATTTGGTGTAAAAACAATTACAAGTCTTGGTGTGAAAAAGGTTTGTAGGCTCAGTCATCCAGGTAGATAATAATATAACCATTAAATCATTTCATCTGGACCAGTTTCTTTAAGGGAGACACGTTTCGTCTTCCATCCAGAAGACTTCATCTGTCTGTGGCCTGCCAACAAGATCTGTCCCATAAGTAGCCTTCATTGCTGTGTAGAGCCAACCTTCGGTTGGAATCTCAGAAGCAGGCTTTTAACACATGCAAAATGACCCATCCATCCATCCATCCATCCATTATCTTTACCCGTTTATTCCATTTTGGGTCACGGGGGTCGCTGGTGCCCATGTCCAGCAATCACTGTGCGAGGGGCGGGGTACACCCTGGACGGGTCGCAAGTCCATCACAGGGCCACATAGAGACAAACGAGACAAACAACCATTCACTTTCTCACTCACACCTAGAGACAATTTAGAGTTACCAATCAGCCTAACATGCATGTTTTTGGACTGTGGGAGGAAACCGGAGTACCCGGAGAAAACCCACGCATGCACGGAGAGAACATGCAAACTCCACCCAGAAGGCCCCTGGACCGGGGTTTGAACCAAGGACCTGCTCGCTGAGAGGCAGCAGCTCTACCAGTTGTGCCACCGTGCTGCCCTGCAAAATGACCCATCTGTCCAAAACAATCAATCATCATGATTAACAATCAAATGTTTTAGGCCAGATGGCCGACTTGCTACTCTCAGAAACAGCCTGAGGACACCAAGGCCAAAATGGTTCAGAAAAAGGTTTGTAGGCTCAATCATCCAGGTAGATAACCAAAAAGGTTAATCATTTCATCTGGACGTGTGAGTTAGTTCATTGTGGAGACCCCTGAAGAATGAAGCAGCCGAAAGAAGTCTTTTCGCCTATTTCAGTTAATTAACTATTTATTTTCTGTTCAGCTTTTTCGGCACATTTCTGCTTTTATTTTCCTGCCATCAAATGCCAGCTGCTCAAATTACCGGTATGCTCGCATTAACAGTTTAGCGGTGAAACCTTTTTCATCATCTTAATTTCAGCTTCTTCAGGAGTTTTTAGCAAAAAGCATCCACTGCACTTTCACAGAAAATTACATTTGACTAGTTCGGAATTAAGTTGAAGTTCAAGTAGGTTTTATTATCATTCGCATCACATGTGCTACATGAGGTGGAACGAAATTATGTACACAGGGTCCCAGTTACATCCAACAATAGCAAAAATATAAATAGTAAAAAAAGAAACCATAAACTAAGAAATACACTAAACACTAATAGTACAAAAACGATACGCCAAACAACAGCAGCATGAACATGAGTCTTGAGTAGATCAGAGAGTCAAGAGTCAGAGACTCTTTATTGTCATTCGCACCTCATGTGGTACATGTGGTGGAGCGAAATTATGTACACAGGGTCCCAGTTACATCCAACAATAAAATGTATAAGAAAAACAGTAATAACATCTAAGATATGAACTAAGAAAAACATCAACTAAATGTACACTAAGCACTCATAACATAAAAACATTGAACATCAGCACAAACATGAACATTAGTCTGTGTGAGCTGATGTGCACGCATGAACACATCAACATTGAAACAGATCAGCAGCAACATGATGTGGTTTTTCACAGTGATTATTCTAGTTAGAGATTCATGAGTCTAACAGCCTCAGGGTAGAAGCTGTTCCTCAGTCTAGTGGTTCTACACTTAATGCTCCTCAACCTCCTTCCTGAGGGGAGTGGGGCAAAAAGTGTGTGTGCTGGGTGAGTGAGGTCCTTCATGATGCAGGTAGCCCTCTTCCTGCATCTAGAGGCGTAGATGTCTGCGATGGTGGGGAGGCTGACTCCGACAGTCTTCTGTGCAGCCTTCATCACTCTGCAAAGCTTTTCTTTCTGCAGCTGTGCAGCCTCCATGCCACACGTTGATGCTGGAGCACAGGATGCTCTCCACTGCACACCTGTAGAAGGAGGTGAGGACTGAGCTTCCCAGACCAGCTTGTCTCAGCCACCTGAGGAAGTAGAGTCTCTGATGAGCTTTCTTGATCAGGCTGGTGGTGGTGTTGCTCCAGCTGAGGTTGTCATTCATGTGTACACCCAAGTAATTGCAGCTGGAGACCACTTCCACCGCAGATCCTCTTATGTTGAGGGGGGTGTAAATGTTTTTGTTCCTTCTGAAGTCCACAATCATCTCCTTTGTCTTCTTCACATTGATGTGAAGGTTATTCTCTTTGCACCAGCTCTCCAGGTGTTCCACTTCTTGCCTGTAGCTGGACTCATCATTGTTTGTGATGCATCCCACCACCGCTGTATCATCTGGAAACTTTACAATGTGACAGCCTGGATGGGTAGCTGCACAATCATACGTGAGCAGAGTAAACAGGAGGGGCCTCAACACATGTCCCTGAGGAGAGCCAGTGCTGAGAGTTATGGTGGAGTAGGAGAAGTTGTGGATCCTCACTAACTGTGGTCTGCTTGTTAAGAAGTCTAGTACCCAGTTGCAAATGGAGGGGTTTAGTCCTAGTGTGGATAGTTTGTCCATCAGGGTTTGGGGGATCATGGTGTTGAAGGCGGATGTGAAGTCCATAAAGAGCATACGGACGTAAGAGTTTTTCTGCTCCTGGTGGTTGAGCGCAGTCTGAACCACAGAGGAGATGGCATCCTCTGTTGATCGGTTCTCACGGTATGCATACTGATGAGAGTCCTCGTTGATGTTGATGGTTGTTTTGATGTGAGTCATGACCAGTTTTTCGAAGCATTTAGCAACTATCGGGGTGAGGGCCACTGGCCGATAGTCATTCAGACCAGTAACTGTAGAGCTTTTTGGGACTGGGATGATGGTGGCAGTCTTCAGGCAGGTGGGAACTGTCTCCAAGGTAAGTGAGGTATTAAAGATGTCTGCCAGCACCTCTCAGAGTTGATCAGCACATTCCTTCAACACTTTTCCGGGGATGTTGTCTGGGCCAGTTGCTTTGTGCGGATTAATCCTCCTGAAAGTACTCCTTACTTCGGCTGAGGTCACGCTGAGATGCTCTTCATCCGGTGGGGAGGTAAGTCTGGTGCTGGGTGGTCTGTTCGGGTCTTCAAAGCGTGCATAGAACTTGTTGAGGGCATCAAGCAGAGATGAGTCTTTGGGGCATTGTTCACTCCTTCCTTTATAATCTGTTATGCACTTATTACCCCTCCACATGCTCCGAGGGTCTTGTGAGTACGATGAGTACGGATGAACACAGTAGCATGAAATAATCAGCAGCACATGTCACCAATCAACGTGGCATTATAGTGATTTTTTTTTCTCCCCACTGTGATAATTCTGGTTAGAGATTCATGAGTCTAACAGCCTCAGGGTAGAAGCTGTTCCTCAGTTTTATTGGTTCTACACTTAATGCTCCACAACCTCCTGCCTGAGGGGAGTGGGGTAAAAAGTGTGTGTGCTGGATGAGTGGGGTCCTTCATGATGCATGTGGCTCTTTTCTTGCATCTGGAGATGTAAATGTCTATGATTGTGGGGAGGCTGACTGCAGCCTTCACCACTCTCTGCAGAACTCCACAGAGGAGATGGTGTCTTCTGTTGATCGATTCTTGCGGTATGCATCCTGGTGAGGGTCCTGGCTGATGTCGATGGTAGCTTTGATGTTGGCCATGACCAGTCTTTCGAAGCATTTACTGACTTATCGGGGTGAGGGCTACTGGCCGGTAGTCATTTAGACCTTTCTCTGAAGAGCTCTTAGGAAATGGGATGATGGTGGTGGTCTTCAGGCAGGTGGGAACTGTTGCCAGGGTGAGGGAGGAGTTAAAATGTCGGCTAGCACCTCGCAGAGCTGATCAGCACAGTCTTTCAGCACCTTCCCGGGAATGTTGTCTGGGCCATTTGCTTCGTGAGGATTAATCCTCCTGAAAGTGCTCCTTACTTTTGCTGAGGTCATGCTGAGGAACTTCTCTTCCAATGATGAGCTGAGTCTGGTGCTGGGTGGTCTATTTGGGTCTTCAAAGTTGGCATAGAACCTGATGAGAGCATCAGGCAGTGATGGGTCCCCATTGTGTACCACCACTTTTATTGTCTGTGATGCACTTAATGCCCCTCCACATGCTTCGTGGGTCTTTTGAGGAGAAATATCCTTGGATCTTCTATGCATACATTGCTTTGGCCCTCTTTATACCAGCAGCCAGCTCTTTCCTTGCCCTCCCCATTTCCTGTGAGTCACCAGACCTGAAGGCAGTATCCTTGGCTTTCAGTAGGGTACGAACCTCTGCATTCAGCCAGGGTTTCTGGTTAGGGTAGCACTTCACAGTCCTGGTGGTGGTGGCATCATCAACACACTTGCTGATGTATCCGAAGACAGCAGATGTGTATTCTTCCAGATCCTGTTCTCCCTTATTTACAGCGGCCTCCCTGAAGACCTGTCAGTCTGCACATGCAAAACAGTACTGCAATAGAGTCACTGTCGCTGGGTCACACAATGTTGATTTTCTGTGTTGGTCTGGAACGTCTTGCAGGGGGAGGTAGACAGGGTCCAGAAAGATGGAGATGTGATCAGAGGCCGAGTAGGGGGCAGGTTACAGCTTTGCATGCGTCTTGTATGTCGGTGTGAACACGGTCTAGTGTGTTATTTCATCGTGTTGGTATGGTCACATGCTGATAATGTCATGGCACAGTGACTTTCAGGTTTACGTGATTAAAATCACCAGCCACCACGTAAAAAGCCTCCAGGTGTTTGTTTTGCTGTGAGTTGATGTTATCATGTAGCTCTCGTAGGGCGTCTTTAGCGTTAGCATCCTGGGCTATGTTGTTGTTGTTGTTAAGCACTTTGATAACAGGTTCTGTTTTAAATGTGCTCTATAAATAAAGTTGACTTGACTTGACTATATAAACAACAATGATAAACACCGCCGTAAACTCCCGAGGTAAAGAATGTGGTCGACATTTCAGTCAGTTGTTCTAAAGCGTCGGAGCAGGGGCTGTTTATCAGAACGCAGTTTGTGGACCAACCTTTGTTTACGTAGACACATACACTCTGCCTCCATGTGTCTTGCTCGTTAGCTTGCTGTAACAGTCCACCCAAAAAAAAAAGTCTATCATCCAGCTGGAACGCTGAGTCAGCATGTTATTATTAAGCCATGTCTCTGTGAGATAGAGTACAGCTCATTTCCTCATCTCCTCCAGCTTGTTTTTAAAGGAGTGAACATTGGACAGGAAGAGAGATGGAGTTGGTAGTCTGTTAGCCTTAGTCTTCAGTCTCCCTAGTACACCACACGGCTTCTCCTCTTTTTCCCCAGGCAGAACGCCTCCTCTTCCCATTAGAGCACTGCTGCCTCCACCCTGATGTCCGCAGAAGCTGCAGTCTGCCGAGCATAGTTTTCAAATTGTTGTCGATAGCTGCTGCATCCAGAGTTAAACACTCTCTTCTGCTCATAAGTTTGGTTTGGCTATAATTCATATGCTTAAGGTGAGCAGAGTCAGACACAGAGTCGTTTCCAAAACTAACAAAAACTGGGTTTTTACTGGGAGCCAATCAAACTGCAGCCTGGCTGGGTGTGGCCATCTTGGCATAGGTACTGTATATAACATATGCATCTTGGCATAATTAACTTTCTCTTCAGCTGTTTTCAAATTTACAAGATTTAAAAAAAACATTTTTCTACATATGGTATTGTGGCAAAATCATTAGTAGTTACTTTGTTGCTCTGTGATTTTGCTTGTTTCAGCAGTCTTACCCATAAGTCGAGTATGAGAGACCCCACTAAAGCCAAAGCTGGTCCTCCAGAGAAGCCAGCTGGAGTGATGAGACCAGACACCAAGGGAAGAGGAACATCTGACCATCATGGTGAGCTCTTCAGTCTTAATAAATGTGCTGTCTGCTTATGAACTATAGCAAATAATGTTTTGTTTTTCAATTTTTCTTTGATTTAGTCTCAAAGCTGGGAGCTTCTATGAAAAAGCCAGCTTCTCCCAGGAAAGAAGACAAAAAGGATGTTCCGAAATCCTCAGGAACAGATAAAACTGTCAGTGATACTTCTAAAAAGATCACAAAGCCTGCTTCTGCAAATGGAGTCACAGCTAAGCCTAAACCAGCTAAAGTCTCTTTGACGCCCTTTAAGCTACCTTTAGTAGAAGCTGCCAAGTCTGGTAAAAAGCCAAAGAGTGGTTGTGAATTAGCCACAGAGAAAGCACCACCAAAACCCACCAAAACTTCTACTGCTGCTTCATCCATAGTACCAGAAAGAAAAAAACTGAACTGTAAAAAAGCAGAATATAAAACTGATCTTGGTCCAGTTGAAGGTTCTGATCATGTGGAGCAAAAAGACAGGACACAACCAACAAAGCAAGGAGTAGAGACACCTCATCCTCTGGAAAACAGCCCCCAGCAGATTCTCCACAAGTCTGAACCAGATTCAGGAATCAACGCTAGTCCTGAAGATGAGGGCAGCGTCACACCAACAGCTGACAACATCCACCACGTTACGTTTTCTGATGACTCATTCAAGCAGACAAACGAGACTAAAGTGAAACCGTTTCAAAGTGGTGGGATCAGTGGAGGACAAGCTGTCAACGTTAGCTCCCCAAAGGAACACCCAGTAAGCAACCCTTGTAGCACGAGGAGCACCGGCACTCCCCTGGAGGACTCCTGGAGCGGAGTCAACCACCAGGTCAGCCCGCAGTCTGAGACTGGCAGCACACACACCACGTCTTCAGACGACATCAAGCCCCGCTCCGAGGATTACGACGCTGGAGGCTCTCAGGATGACGACTGCTCCAACGATAGGGGCGTGTCCAAGTGCGGCACCATGCTCTGCCACGACTTCCTGGGTCACAGCAGCAGCGATACCAGTACCCCAGAGGAGTTGAAGATGTATGAATGTGGGGCTGGCTTGAGAGTGGAGGTGCGGCTTCGTAGCAAAGAGGCAGAAACCACAAGCGAGGAGGAAGGAGGACGATGGCGTCCTCCATCTTGGTTGCAAAGAGAGGATGTTCCAATAAAGGAGTACAAAGAAGATGAGGTCCCTGCAACTAGAAAGTCCATTCCTGACCGCCAGCCTTTGTCTTCTGAGGAGGAGGAAGTTGATGACAATGAAGAGGAGACAGAAGACGAGAGGTCTGAAGTTGAAGTGATTCCAGGTGAGGCTTCGCTGCAACCAGCCGAGCCGTCGCCGCACTTTCAGGGGATCATCAATCTAGCATTTGACGACGGCGCAGACCAGGAGGATGAGCAGCCCGACTACCAGCCGTCCAACTTCCGTCGGTCCGTGTTGCTCTCGGTCGACGAGTGTGAGGAGCTGGTCTCAGAAGAAGGCGGTGCCCAAACGCCGCCTCCTCAACATCCAGACGGAGCTGTAACTCCCTGTGTTTTCGAGTGCGACTCTCCTACACCTCTGTTCAGTTCCAGTGACAAACAGGACCACCTGCCCCGCCCTCTCCAAGCCACCAATCCAAAGTACGATACTCTGAAGGAGGAACTCAAAAAACAGTCTGTGTTCCTCACGGAGATCCTTGATCCAGCGCAGGAGAGTAATTGTATCCAGGCAGACGAGGTGAACTCAGACACCAGAGACCAGCCTCCCCTGGAGCGCCCGAGCCACCTGGAGCGCCCGAGCCACCTGGATCTGCGGCACGCTGAACAGTACAATGGAGCAATGACCAAAGCTCATCCTGAACCCTCAGAAAGCAAGAAAGTTGATTTGCACCTTGACCTAAATGAGCCTCAGCTGACAGGGGGCTCTCCTGTACCCGCTACACAGTCTCCGCCAGGTAATGTATGATCCATAGCCCCCACCTAGACCCCAGATCCAAACCTACCCTTGTACCCCAAAATCTGATCTCACAAAATTCATTCTGTTTGGACAAGCTTTGTCCAACATAAACTTTATTCATCTTTCAAAGAAAAGGAAGTAGCTAGGTAAAAATTAGAAAAGCAAGTTCAGACTCGATCACAAAAGCTCATTATTGTTTCACAACTAGAATCTTGCTTCCATTTCAGCCATTCATTAAGTTATTGTTGAGATTCACCACATTAATCTGTTTTTAAAGCTCGGTTCATTCTAACAATCAGCCACACCTGTCTGACATTAAGCCTGCAACAAACAAATCACTAAAGTCAGAACAAACAGTAGGTTTCAAGATGGAACAAGTTGGATTTGTTGAATAAATAAATACTGCATGGGTTGTAAATATACCAAAGCACTTTTCTGTACATAGAAATACATTTTATTTATTTGTCATTTGTCTTTATACAGTGAAGGAGTCTGTGGCCTTCACAAGCCATAAGTCATGTTGAACCTCACGGTGCTCCAGACATTTTAACATCAACTTATTGAAAACAACAAAACAATTGGTGCTATATTTACTTGCACATTTATTTGCACTTTTTGTTTTTTCATGCCAGTTATTATCAGCTAACTATTTGCACAGGTCACAAACGGCACACAGCTGCTGTGTAATAACAGAACAGCCTAAACTCGTCCTCAGCCATGTTTTATTTCTCGTTGCCATCTCGGCGCTTCAGTTAGCTGCTGATCTGGCAGCACGGAGGTGGACTGGTCATGAGCTTCAGTGTCACTGCAGGTCTCTTTCAGTTTCCCCCCAACAGAAAAACCCCCCACTTCTGTTCTGCAGAACGCACGTTCTGAAGGTTTTGTCCAAACAAAACAAGCGGTACGTCGATGTCCTCGTCGCTGAGGGATTAGAACAGTGAATGTTTGTAGTTTTCTAGAGGAGTGTTTTTCTGGACTGGAACTGGAGCAGGGACTGCAAGTAAACCTTTAGGTGCATGATTTTCTAATGGGCAGGAGTTACTCTGTGGAGGAGAACAGAGGGAGGTTTTTATTTTTTGCTTGTCCAAGACAAATGAGTGGAGGATCTGGTGCAGTGGAGGAGCCAGGGAGTGGCCAATGGGGGCCTTGGCCACCATAAATTAATATTAACGCTCAGTCAACACAGTCATTTAAGGAAAATACTTTTAAGCGATATAAAAACTGTAAAGTATAGTTTTTTTCAAATGATAGAGGTGGTTGGTTTACATGTGGTTATCAACAAATAGACTTCTTATGTCTAGATGCAGCCACGCACAGAAATGGACATCGGCACTTTGTTTATTTTTGAAGTTATCCAGTTTACAAGGTTAACAACATATCTACATATATAGCAGCAGCCATTTTTGGATTTGGATGTGGCAACCTAATTTCTGATGGTGACCTTTCTTACACAGCCACAAATCAAAATGGAGGTCAGTACTACTTGTTATGCTCACAACATGCACAGACTAAGACTATTTCCACTTCCCCCTTTTGGCTTCATGACTGGAGGATCTGCAGTACATTCTGATAAATCTACTGAAATATAATCCGTACGTAGCAGAATGAACATATGCAAACATGTAGGAACTCCTACCTGCAGGGAGACACTAGCAACAGATGACCAACATTCACCACTTCATACTGGAATTTTTTTTAAGAACTAGTTGCCATGGTTTGTTGCCAGGCTAATTACACTTGGCTTATCGTTCTTTATAGTATTAGTATTTTGAGCTAAAACGTTCTTCATCATACCGTAAAACAAACCGTTCTAGACCTGTTGATTTATAGTGTAAACTACACTGGTACTGATTTATTATTTTAGTACTAATGTTTTTGTTTTCAGTCATCGCCGTCACCTTCAAAGAATATTTTAAATTATTTGTTAGTTTTGAAATGTAAAAGTAGTACCATTATAACTTCTGTCATTTTTATTTTAAAAAGTTCACACATCTAGAATATTTGTACAAAAACAACAAGTTGCTTAAAAAGTGTTGAATCTGAATTTCATTATTTCTACTCAACAATGTACCTGCTCCTGAGTCATCGTTTTATTTGTTTTATTCTTTTGCATGGCGCACATGCATGCAGTTATCATGCTTAGTTTGTAATTCATCCATGTCATCCTTTGTTTTTCGTTTTTTCATTTCCGTTTGTCATACCCAGTAGAGTTGTGTAGAACTGATGCATTCATGAGTTTAAAGAAAAGCCTTTTATTGTTTCTGAGTTTTGTTCAGTAGCTTTTGTCTCCTGTAACATCAGCAGCCTCTAACGTATGTGACGTCTGTCTGGGATTGCTGCCATAGCTTCTGCCATGTCTCTTTTCACTGCCATATTTGCACCAATAATGCTGCACCATTACAGTTCCTACAAAGCAAATGTGTGATTTATTGTTTTCAGCATCAGATAGATATTAGCTAACATCAGTTGCTAGTTTATAAATGTTTAAAAAATTAGAAGACATCAAAAGAGAACTTGGCTGTTAACCATGTTTTGTGCTAAGTATTCTCAGTATTGCTTGCTAATGCATTTTTGTGACCGTATTCAAGTCTGTTGTGTAGAACTGCACGTAGGTTTTACAACATATCGAAGCTCACCGGTGCTGGCAGTGCATGACTTCTTTTACTTTAACAAGTGGATAAAGAGATGCATCCAGAAAGGCGTTCCTTTGTATTTATTACCTTTAAAGCAACAGTTTACCCTTTAGCATGCACATTTAGCCAAAGTGACTGATTTTGGTGCTGCCTGTTAACTGTAGCCGTCATATATGTTCTTCCTCACTGGTCCCACATGACATCACTATTGGATAAATTTGAAAGGGCACAGCTGCATTAAGGGTAAACGGAGTTCTCAGTTTCCTTTTGTTGTTTGTAGTCATCTGAACTGAAGGAGCTGTGGACGAGTGCTTCTGTTTGTCATTTAGCAGTATTGTTAATTGTTTTTAGGCGACAATGATTGTGTCAGATTGGATCAAACCAGCAATCCTGAGCGCCGGCCATCTAAAGTCCTCTCTCCCATTTACGAGACGGACATCGGAGAAGCATTTGAGTGCTGCTCAGACAAGGACAGCAGTGGTAAGCAACAGGCGGATGAAGACAAACTGAAAGACCAGGACAGAAACAGTGAGTTTGTGAAGCGAGACTGGAGTCTGCTGCGGCAGCTTCTCTCAGATCACAAGTCCAACCTGGGCGTCATAAACCCTGTGCCCGAGGAGCTCAACCTGGCCCAGTACCTCATCAAGCAGACCCTGTCTTTGTCTCGTGACTACCTGGACTCGCAGGCCTTTCTGTCACCAGAGGGAGAGACGTTTAAACGATGGGCCGAGCTGATCTCCCCCATGGATGACTCCTCTACCAGCATCACAGTAACCAGCTTTTCTCCAGAAGATGCTGCATCTCCACAGGGAGAGTGGACCATAGTGGAGCTGGAAACACATCACTGACTACAGAGGAGGGGCCATTGGACAGTCCATGCCTTCTGTTTAAACGTTGCATTGACTGGATCTTTATTTTATTTCTAATCTTTTCTGTCTATAAAGCAAATGATTTCTGGACAGTACAGATGCATGGACTTTCAAGACATTCCCTTAGAACTCTGTTGACTCAACTGGCCCATTACTCCTGCAGATGGTTTTGTACGTTTGTTCAATTAGTGTCATTTTCAAAGTGTAGCGGTGACAAAGACTCAAAACTGGAAAAATAATTTTTTTTAGTCTTATGATAATGTTTACTGAAGTTTCTTAAAGAAAAAAACTATTGTTTTACTTGCAATGTGTCAAATAAAAGTTTGTTTCTGGGAAAATGTGTTCATGTCAGAAGAGAATTATTTATATTAAAACATTTATTTACCCTGAAAATCCCACTGAGATCACAATAATTTTTTTAAGGGGGTCTGGCCTTGAAGGCAGCCTACATGTGTATGTTTTTAAAAAAATATTATTATTATTATTGGAAGAACCCGTAGTACCCAGAGAAAACCTCAGGCCCAACTCAGGACCTTCTTGCTGTGAAGCAACAGTACTAACCACTAAGCTACTGCGCTGCCCGCTTCCTTTTCTGCATTTTCTAAGCCTGACTGTGTCTGTAACTTGTTTACCCTTACAGATCATCCATCCATCCATCCATTATCTTTACCCGCTTCTTCCTTTTTGGGTCACGGGGGTCGCCGGTGCCCATGTCCAGCAGTCACTGTGTTAGAGGCAGGGGACACCCAGGACAGGTCCAGTGCATCACAGGGACACATAGAGACAACCATTCACGCTCTCACTCACACCTAGAGACAATTTAGAGTTATTAATCATGTTTTAGTCTGTGGGAGGAAACCAGAGTACTTGGAGAAAACCCACGCATGCACAGAGAGAACATGCAAACTTCACCCAGAAAGGCCCCCGGACTGGGATTTGATCCAGGGTAACCTGTTCGCTGTGAGGCAGCAGCTCTACCACCTGCGCCACCGTGTTGTCAGCTCATCAGCCAAACTATTTAAAGGGAACAAAGCCGCTGGGTGGTTTTTATGTTTTTCACAAGGTTTGCGGTGGTGATTTTTGGTGCCAAGAAAGAAGGGAGTCAAAGTCGAGAACTGTGTCCGTGGACGTAGCACAAGTGCCAAGAAGCCCCTCCAAAGCATGACTAGTGAAATGGTATTCTGCTTTTGAAAATGCAACATTTGTCAGCATTTTATTCTTTATCAGGGACTAATATTGCTGTATTCTTTGTTCACACGGAGCAGAAGTATTGAAGCTGCTTTGATTCCTAATATGTCTGTCTGGGGCTTCAAATACCATCTCTAAGCAGCTTCTTGATGGTCTGACCACAGCCAACAAATAATGATACAAAGTATAAAATTCATGAGGCTGTTGTCAACCTCACTGTGGACACAAGGAAATATGACCTCAGGTTGAACAAACGAATAGTATGAACAGAAGAAAAAGCACAGGAAACCATTCAAAATGAACTCCAAGGTCAAGGTACGTCACATCTTGCAAAACTCACTGAATCATAATGAAAACCTCAAAGAGCGCTCCACTATTGACAGAGAAAAAGAAAGACAATAAAACAGGAATTTACCAAAATGCGTTTTGACCTCAGACTTTCTGGAACCGATAAGAAAACAAGCGTTTTTGCCAGTCACACCTGGTCTGTCTTTATTATGAAAGGGTACCAATAAAAAACTTTCAGCTCTTATTCTGAAAGGATTTCCCCTTAAACAAAAGACATGCATGTATAAAAACTTTTAAAACTGGTAAAACAACGGGATAAACGGTATTTTGTTCATGTTTGGAAAAGACCTTGTTTCTGGCTACGTTATAAAACAAACAAAAAAAAGTTGCAGCCAAAACGAGTTTTTTGCGGCACGACAGCGACATCTAGCGGCTGATCCCGCCAAAACAAGACATTAATTTTGCTTTTTTCAGTCATGGCTGTGAGCACAAGTCAGTGGAGGACAACCATTATAGTTAGCTCTGCACTTCAGGTAAAAAGAGTTTGACATTCTTGTTGTTTTATATCATCTGTGCAATAGTTGTGCATGATTCAATTTAGCTAATGTGTAACAGTATCCAAGTTTAAAACAAATGTTTTGCTGTTTTAAAACGAGTTAAGTGTAAAATGATGTGTGTAGCCACTTTTCCATTAAGATATTTGTTTTAATATTGGCCTAATAAACCCCTAAATATCTTTGTTGTTCAACTGGGGCAACACCATTAGGTCATTTAGTCACATATCCACTGAAAGTGTAATACAGACATCCTTACAACATTCTTGGATATACTTGAAAGAATATATGACATTAAAAAATAAATAAATAATCTACTTCACTTTATTTGTTTTCCACAACACAACTGTATTTTTCCCCTACCAAAGATTATGGTTTTCATGTGACACATTGACGTATAAATATACAAACAGGAGTAAGTTATATCATATAGAATACCTTTTTGTGTTTTCCACACAGGCTTTTACTTTGGGTTTGATGTTCAATCTGTTTTATTTATTTGATATTTTTGGTGCAAATCTTCAAAACCTGGAACTAATATATCACATAGCCATTAGCATGTTTGCTAGCTGCTAACAAATTCCAGGACATCGGTGGTTACTAGGGCATTAACAGAGTACTCGAGTAATCAACACATCGATTACTAGAACATCTATCGAGGTTAAAAATGTAACGTCGAGTATCCGTAGTAACGTCATATTATGTGACCACCGTATGACCGTAGGGGGCGGTGTTGCACTGTTGCAGGTCACAGAGTGTAACACCGGGTCCAATCCACCGAACCAGTTTCGGTTTAAGTTTCGTTTCTGACGTGCTGCATGTTTCTTCACGTTTGCAGTTTAATAATACAAACTAATAGTTTAGTTTTTCCTGTGACTTATTTGCAGTATGATAAATGGTAGGAGCATAATATACGCTCCCAATGTTTTGTTGGTCTCTTTTTTTGTAAATAATTACCTTTTTTTACGGTTTTATTTATTTATTTATTTTTGTATCTTGAGATCTATGACGTCAACAAATACTCGAGTTCTACTCGGGTTTTATTATGTTAATGTCGAGTTTAAAAATTATATACTCATTCAACCCCTAGTGGTTACCATAAAAACAGCAGCAGCAAGAAAACATGCTCTTTAAAAACAACAGAAGAAGTAATGGTTCAAAATTCTCAGCCGGGATGGTTACTGTTAATAGAAGATGCCGATGGAGGAAACAACAAAAATGTGGAGGCAGTACCACAATCTAATAAACCTCAGTCAACTTCATTGAAAGTGTTTATCGTAAGTGAAAAAAGTTTACTTACATACTAGGGATGCACCGATCCACTTTTTAAAATTCCGATCCAATCCCGATGCCTAGATCTGGGTATCGGCCGATACCGATCCAGTTCCGATATCATGATCATCATTGATTTTATATGAGGCTGTAATAATCTCATCTCAAGTACAATTTGTACAAATATATGCATGCATGTCCAAAAAGGCAACTTGAGGTAAGTTGTATTAATGTTGGATAAGTTTTAAAGTTAGACTTAAATTCTGCTAACACAAAACATGTTTCTTTTTATTCCTAGCTTTAAAGTGGATATTAAAGTGATTAATTTAAGTGATTGTTTAAAGTTGTTTTATATTTTATAAGGGGCAGATACAAGAAATTTTTCTTCTTCCTGCACTCTTTTCATTCAAAAATGAATTTTTTTGAATAAATTTTTTTTTATTTTGTTTCATTTAAATTAATTAAATTAAATGTTAAATGGCTTCAAACACCTACTAAGTTCATGGCATAAACCAACAGATATGTTCCTGTTTTTAGAATTTTACATCACTTCTTTTTTTTTTTTTTTCATTTAGCCTTTATTTATCCAGGTTAGTCTCATTGAGCCACGAGAACTCATTTTTAAGAGAGACCTGTTTAGGGAGCACATGGTGGGGGTTAAGGGCCTTGCTCATGGGCCCAGGGTGGGGCGAATGAGGGTGGGGGCAAGTGTGGGTGTTTCACCCATAGATATAAACACTAGATGCCTCATTGGCTGCTGCGGCGCAGGATTTTCGTCCGCCATCTTGAAACGGTCGTCCTTATTTGGTTAAAGCAGATGTCTCAGCACTTCGCAGCTTATTTCTGTTCAGATCGACGGACTGTTGACGTCAGGTCTCGTGGGATAACTTTTCACAAGTAAGATGAACATATTGTTGTTAGTATTTTGAGAATATAATATTACTGTACTGTATTTATGTCCACCAGCTGATGTGATGTTCAGTGTAACACGGTGTTCAGCTGCAATGAAGCTGACAGATCTGATGACAGGAATATTTTTCTAACAAGCATACTCACTATTTCAGTAGCATTGGTTCATTATCAACAGATATGCATCAAAACTGGAGTTTTGTTTAAGTTCTAGGAAATAAAAAATAAAACTTGGGAGAATATAGGAAATAGAAAATAAGATTGACCTCCTTTGTACAATGTTTTTGTGTAGACACAAATCTCCTTTTTTCATTTTGAAGGTTTCCCAAAGAACAAGATGTGAGGAAGAGGAGGAAGTATCTTTGAGGAGGATTCATCTGAGCAGTGAAGATTTTAAACTGGAGGATTTTAATAAAACTGATCAAACTGTCCGACTGAGAGATGGTGTGGTACCATCGGTTCACCTTGAAAGAGTAGGAGCATCATTATAAGTTCATTAACGTTCATAAAGTTACATATTTTATTGTGAGTCACAAGGTGAGACACCTCCATGTGTTTATATGAACAGGTAACTATAGACTGTAAAGTTCATATTCATTATGTTTTTTCATTTCAGCTTGAAAACTGCAGGACTACAGGAACTCAACAAAAGCTGGAGCTGCTCTGTCTGTGTCCTCTCAGGAACATGCATGTCACACACACACTCTCAGGAACGTGCACGTCACACACACAACCTTGGCCTCATGATGTGAGTATTTCTATTTTAAAT